CTCCCCCGTGCCCCGTGTGAGCACACCAGCCCCACCCTCCCCCCGTGCCCCGCGTGAGCACACCAGCCCCATCCCCCCTGTGCCCCGCGTGCCCTCGCCCCAGCCTGGTGGGCGCACAGCTGGCAGGTAAGTCTGAGCACCCTCCCCAGTGCAAACCCTGGGGCCACGTTATCGCCTCCACAGCAGCAGAAACAAGCAGAGCTGCCAGGCAGGACTGGCCGTCCGCCATCATTCTAGAATGCCCGCGCCCGGAGCCCAGGAGGGAATAGGGCAAGAAGTGTGTCGCAAATACCTTTAGAACCAATGGGACCAATTTTTCCATGGCGACCCACACTGCCCTTCTGTCCTTTGTCACCCATGTCTCCTGTAGAAAACAAGATCAAAGTTGGTTGGCGCACATGTAATCCAGCATCCCTCCTGTTCAACATCACACACGCGCACACGCACGCGCATGCACACACACGAGCGCACACGCGCCCACTCGCATCAGAGGAGCTGTCCTCTTCAAGGTCACGTATGTGATGGACCCCAGAAGCCTCTTCACAGGTGGCTGTTGATCTATTTTCCAGAGGGAGACACTTGTCCCCTAAAAGTCACACACACTATGGAACGCAGGGGACCAGCCGTACGTCCCTGACCCTGAACTCAGCCGAGGCCCCTCCAAGTACGTCCGCGGACAAGGTTGTCTGCCCTCCTGCCCAGCCCAGCCCCAGACCAGGTGGAGCAGGCCGCACCCCTGCAAACAGGCACACGGGCGCTCTCCCCCGCCCGCTGAGGGGGGCAGGGAAGGAGGAGGCGAGGCGGGCCTGGGCATGCTCGTAGGGTGACCAGCCCCCCAGCGAGGCCGGCTTACGCTCCCCCTGCCAGTCCCATCACCGCGGCTCGGGGGGTCACCAGCCCTGTGCTGCCCCTCGCCCCCTCGCTTCCCATCGCCGCAGGCTGCCCCCGTGGCTGGTCCCCACGCCGTGACCCCGTGGGACTGTCCTCGCTGACCGGTGCGCCGAGCCCAGGAACAGCCCTCCTCACCCGATCACAGAACCAGTCACGCCAGCGGGGGGATCTGCTCAACGCTCAGACTTTCTCCCGCAAAGTGTCCTTAAACTCTCAGCAAACACCTGCTTGTCTGCTGGTGATCGTCACAGACCAGGGCCAAGCCAGCCGGTGTCAAACACACACGCGCGCGCACACGTGGTGAAAGAAACATGCGATCAGCCTTAATTTCACAATCTGAAACTAAATGAAGCTCAGCATAAGCAGCCCAGCAGGAGAGACGAGGCCAGGAAGACCGTGCACGATGCACAGATAGGCTCTGTCCTGTGACGCCCACCCTCTCCTCCAAACCGAGGATTTCCCAGCCAGGAGCCCTTAGTTTTGCGATATTCCCTACACTGAGGACAGACGGAGATCAGAGGCTTCGGGCCGAGCTGCAGCTCAAATGGAAACACGCCCGTCACACACAGAGCTGGCTGACGTTCGCAGACAGGAAGCACACACACGTCCATTCTCTCGGTTACACAAGCGACTCACGGCACAGAGGGACGCAGAGCGCTTGGGTGGCCTGTCTGGGTCCAGTGCCCGGGGTACGGCAGGGTCAGGACAGAGCTGTGACCGCTGACCTGAGACCCCACGGGAGGCAGGGCACGCCAGGGAGACCGGGGCCAGGCTGGCCCAGCCACGACAGAGGCCACTGGGGCCACAGGTCCTGTGGACTGCGTGCTGTGCGTGGTGCGGGGACACAGCGTGGCAGGACTGGGACCTGCTGGTGCCGGGGGAGATCTGGGGGGATCAGACACCGGTAATGGGAGAGGGCGTGAGGAAGTCCTGGGAGGGGCCCGAACCCGGGGGGGTGCGGGGGGAAGGGTGCAGGGGTGTGGCATACAAACCCGCAGGTGGGGAGTCAGGGAAGAGAGTGACAGATGGGATTCACGCTAGACATGTGTGTGGTGACCCCGCAGAGGGGCTGGAAGGGCACAGACACCGGGTCAGGGGCCGGGTCGGTCCCAGGGCGGGAGGCGGGTGTGCAGTGGTGTCTGGGAGGGTTTGGGAGCAGCAGTGACAAACATCATGGACGTCCATGTGAGGGGTGACGGAGGCACTCCCCCAGCACGCAGGGGTGGGGAAGCCACACTGTCCCCTGGACCCCGCAGCTGGGGTGTCGGCTCCGGCCCGCGTGTCCATCATAACTGACAACAGGTGGCCTGGGGACATCGCCTGGTGGGAGGACAGGCCCGGGGGACCCCAGGGGCACTGTGGGAGGAGGCACCCGCGGGTTCAGAGCGCCGTGAGACGGGCGGGACACAGGGCCAGAGCCTGAGGCCCAGGGCAGGCGGGGTGGGCCTCCCAGCGCAGCAAGGAACAGCAGGTGCTGAGACAGCGCCCCCTAGTGTGGGGCCGCCCCAGCTGCGCGAGCCTGGGGCACAGGGGACCGCTAGCCCGCTAAGCTGTGCTCCCCTGTGCCCATCCTCACCAGCCCTGCCTCCCGTCCTCAGCCTGACTCACTGCGGCCACGCTCCGGTCACAAGACCGCCCCACGTGCCAGCAGGGTCCACCGACCAGGCTCGCTCTCATCCACCCCCCCAGCGAGCCTCCAGGTCAGCGAGGCAAAGACGGCCAAGAACACGTTTCAGTCAAGCAGGGAGGCCAGCGGTCAGCCCCGCGCTGCTCACCCTAGGGACCCCACACCAGACAGAGCTGCCCTCACCGCCCCCACTCACGGCACTGCCTGCGTGAAACACGCCCAACATCCGTCTTCCGCCAGGCCACCCTCTGACGTCTCAGTTCTCTCTGGGACGGCCGCCTCTTCCTCTGGGTCACGGCCATGTCATGTTCCTCTGAGGATGACACACACATCCCCAGGCAGAGCGTCCCACCATCACCTCCCGCAGGGGACTGAAGTGTCCCCTCCCCATGCCCTCTGCTGAAGCCTTAACCCCTAACCAGGGGCTGCAGGGGGGCCTCGGGAGGTGAGGGGGCTGAGATGAGGGCACGAGGGGGGGCGCAGCATGGGGCTGGTGCCCGCGTAGGAAGGAGAGACGCAGGTGGGGGCAGACAGCCACCTCCAGTCCAGGGCGAGGCCCTCGCCAGAGGCAGCCCGATCGGGACGTCCAGCCTCCAGCACCGGGAGAAACAAAAGTCTGCGGTGCTTTGCCACGGCAGCCCTGGCCGACTGAGACACGTCCCTTGTCCCGAGCCTCCTGTCCACTAACGTGGTCGGAATCCCAGAGGTGATTAGGGTGTTTCTGCTCAGCCTCTTGCAAAGAGCGTTCTGCAGAAAAGCCAATGTTCCCTGCGATGAGGCGCTGCATTTAGTGCTGCTGCGATACCACGTGCGCCCTGCGGGGGCAGCCTCGCTCCCCAAGCCTCCTTCCCTGGGGCCCTGGGAGGGAGGGATGCTGGGGAAGGGGGGGCTGAGCCGCAGGGCAGATGTCGGGATGACCTCAGTGCTCGTCCTTTGTAACGGTCACATCTCCCCAGAACCTGGCCCACTCAGCGGTCAGCCGTGACGGCCGTCTGCTGAGACATTCCGTGTCTCGTCCTCACGGGCAAGGTCAGGCCCACTAAATACACCACAAGCTCCGAACGGCGCTCCGACGAAGACAGCGTCCAGAGCAGGACATCTTGGTGGAGACCGGCCAACTGAACCCGATCTTCAGATGGGAAGGCAGAGGCCCAGAGGGACCTAGAGGCTTGCACCTGCACTAACCGGCAAGGCGGACGGTTCCCAGGGCCTGGGCCCCGGCTGAACTCCCCCAACGCAGGGGCAGGGCTGCCAGAGCCCTGAGGATGAAGGAATGTGCCTTCCCATTCAAAAAAAAATTTTTTTTTATGTTTTATTTATTTCTGAGAGAGAGAGCGTGAGCAGGAGAAGGTCAGAGAGAGGGAGATACAGAATCCGAACAGGCTCCAGGCCCTGAGCTGTCAGCACAGAGCCCGACGCGGGGCTCGAACCCACAAATCGTGAGATCATGACCTGAGCCGAAGTCGGACGCTCAACTGACTGAGCCACCCAGGCGCCCCTGTGCCTTCCCATTCAACAGCCAGAACACGACAGAGGAGCCTGGGAGCCAACCAGTGCACAGACTGGATGTGAGTGAGGCCCCATCACACGACTGAAGAGCCCGCTGTCGGCCAGGAAGATCTCCCCTAGAGATGTGGGAGGGGAGTTCTCTCCCCTGGAGGCCCCTGCACAGAGAAGCCCGAAACAAGACCTGCCCCTCTTCTCCCAGGCAGAAGGCTCCTGCTGCCCCCGCCCCCGCACACACAGGGAAGGGGGTGCTGAGAGCCAGAGGAGAGACGCCGGCACGCAGGTGTATGGCTGCTAAGTGCTTTCCCCGCCTCCACAGAACGATTAACGACTGATTGATCTCATCAGCGGAAGGGGGCCCTGAGAGGCCAGCTCACATCCTGCTGTGAATAACTCCAAGCCTGAGGATGCCTTGAGAGCACTTGGCTTTTGGCCCATCTCCGAATCACACCGCCAAACGTTAACACTCACTCAAGGTCGTGGCTGTCATGTGCCACCCTCCAGCCCCCAGCAGAGGCTGAGCCCAGCTCCTGGCCTTGGAGAAGTGTAGGACCCTGCCTTGAGGGTTCTGGGGAAAATCGGTGCCAGGAGGGACATCCCACAGCTCACCATGGAGGGCCATGGAGCCCTCAGCGGGCTGGCACCTGAGTCTCAGACATCAGCCTCCAGAACGGTGAGAGAATAAACCTCTGGTGTTTACGCAGCCCGGGCTGTGTTGTTTGTGACGGCAGCTTGGACAGTCCAGTACACTCTCTCTGCCCCCACAACAGTAACTGGGATTCGGAGAGGTGAAGCCACGCACCTCGAGTCCCACCGCAAGCTGGTCAGGACTGTCGCTCTGTGATCCGCACACAGGCGGACGAGACCCTGATCGCAGCCCTTTGCCCGTGCAACCTGAGACAAGTCGCCGTCCTCTCTGAGCCTCTGGGTCCCCATACGTAAGGTGGACCCTGGGGTGCTGAGCACACGGTAGCGTATGTTTCGTTCAGACTGAGGTCTCCCGACCCCACACCTCAGCTGAGGAGCTGTGGCCCAGCCCAGCCCCAGAGAGGCTGTCCACGGAGCCAGCCACAGAGGGAAGGCTGCACCACCGCGAGCCGGGGCTGAAAGTATGCTATGGGCTTCTGGGAAGACAAACACCCCACCCCCCACACCCCTGGGTGCATCGGCCCAGGCTGAGGACACTTGGCCAGTGGGGACCTGGCCCTATAGCCAAACTGCCTCTTTTGCTGTAAACAGTGGCCTCTTCCACTGGGACCCCCTCCACAAGCCCTGAGAATTGACAAAACCTGGTCACATCACGCCCCCAACAGCCTCACAGGAGGGCCAGTGGGGGGCAG